ATATATATATATATGTATGTATATATATGTATATAATTTTTTTCTATGTATTTTCAGCTATCATCACAGCTGCCATGGAGATGCTAGGGGGCAATGAAGTAGACAGACAGTGCCGGAAGCCAGAAATTATGGCTGATGCTGCGTATGTGATGCTTTGTAAAGATTCAAGGTCTTACACAGGAAACTTTGCCATTGATGATGAAGTCCTCAAAAATGAAGGCATCACCAATTTCGATGAATATGCCATTGATCCAAGTAAGATTCAATTTTCTGTTTATATGGGTGTGGTTTGGTGGGTGTGTGCTCATTAGGTAAATCATATGATAAACCCTCCCCCCTAGAATGGCAGATCTCCACCCAGGTTGCATCATGGAAATCATGGTGACAAAAATAAGGGCAGTGGGTTTATGTAAGGAAACAACATCCCTGGCATGTAATGTGTTGGCAGGGTGTGCGCATAGACCCATGACAAGACTCAGTGCCTCCCTTTTGCAAGGTTATTTTTTGTAAACTTTTTAAGCCTTTTTGCCATTTTCCAATGTCCATATTTGTCTTTTGATTTGCTTTATCCAGATGGTAATAGATTTTTACTCTTTGTAGTAAATAACTCGGTGCAAGAAAAAAAAAAAAAATAGGGAACATTTGGACATTTGTGTCATATATCTTCTATTTTCATAATTATAAATTTTACATAATACAACCTGCTCTACCCTTCACAGCGGCTAGAATTACAGTGTGCAGCATGGAAATGGCGTCCTCCCTGGAGCCGGTGCTCTTCCAGTCACAGCTTATGCATATTACATTCAACATTCATTTATCGATGGGAATAGTACTAAAGCCTCCTTCTAAGAGCCAAATGAGTTAAATCACATTCCAAGAGGTTTGTGCATGCATGGGGAGTCTTTTCCATCTCCCTGGCCTTCCCTTATGACGGCAAGCTCGCGTCACCCAGCCTGCTGCCATTTTGCCTGATGATGGCTTGTTCATGTCACCCAGCCTCAGTGGGTGACAGATTTTTCTATGATGGGACCATGACATCACCAAATCATAGGGGTTAAAACAAAGCAGATCATGGAGGACTTCAAAATGTAAAAAAGTATATATGTAGACTGCTTAAGAATGGCATGTGTGCACATGCCTTGGAGTTAATCGTCAACTAACTAACTCTTTACCCTTTTTGCTATTACACTCCTATAGTGCTATATGACCTTTGATGTCTAGCACAATTATTTTGCTTTGTAACCATTAACAACAATGTGCATTCCAGTATGGAGGAAATGAAAGAATGTTTTCAAATTAGGGGATCAAGAACATTGCGAACTAATAATGTTGCAAAATAATTTTCCCTTTCCCTCTATCTTATTTACAGGTGCCTCACTCATCCCTGATTTCTTCTTGGATGATTTTGATGACTTTGCTGCTAAACAGTCCCTCCAGCTAGACTCATCTGGCAAAATTACACAGGCCAAAGTAGATGCTGATGAAGGACAAGTAGCACAGGTACTGCGTATGTTAATTATTCACTTGAAGTCCTGATTATATTTATATATAAGCAGTGTATTTGAAAGTAATCTAAATAGCATTACAACAAACTCACTTTTGAAATCTCATCTCCTGATTTTCCTGGAAAAAAAGCTTGTCATGCTATCAATAATATGATATTCAAGGTTATTAAGGCCTTAACAACTAAGATGGCAAGATTGAGCATACCATAATACTTATATTGAGTATGCAAAGCATTAACTCAAGGTTGCAGGATATCAAAGAGACTTGTTATGTGTACTTCTGGACTGTCCATTCTCTGAACTTGGAAGATCTTGTACATCTAACTAACTGCTATTAATTTGCATCTGCATGTGATAGTACAAAATTATGATGGTGGAACTTAACCAATCATGGGAATAATTTTAGTTAGTTCTTGGGTAGATTATTTACCTACCTGTTTTGTTGATATTTTGGTAAATGTTTATGATAGGACCGCACCCGTCAGAGATGAAGTCCCCGACTCCTGCCAACAAGGTTGGGGGATCCCATGGGGAATCGGGGGTTTGGGGGGAGGGTGATTTCGTTCATACAAATTTATTTTAAAAAGCAAAAGAATGTGGGAAATTGTAAATCCGAGCCAAGGATAGTATTTCAGATGACAAAGAAAGTGAAAAATGTAGGAACCAGAGAGTAGATTCGACCACAGATGATTCGGCACAGTTTTTGCGCAAGCGAACTATGTAGTGAACCGCATCTTAAACGCATGTATGGCCAGTAGGATCGCCGTATGTACCAAAAAAAACTCTTAACCTGGGGGCTACGCCCTTGGACCCCTTCCCGATTGCTATATTTCCTGACGGGGGCTTTGCCCTTGGACCCCCTCCCAATTACCGTATTTCCCTACCAGGGGCTCCGCCCCCAGACCCCCTCCCAATTACCGTATTTCCCTACCTGGGGCTCCGCCCCCAGACCCCCTCCTGATTATCTAACTTCCCTACCGGTGCCTCAATATCACCACTGACTACACTTGAAATACAAAAGTTGAGGGGACGGCGGTTGGGAAGTGATGAACCGCAGACGAAATTCTACAACTGGAACAAGGTTATTGTATTTCACTGAGTTTCGTGTTATCTCCGATATTGTAATGATTTCAGTGAGAGATCGATTTTACCGCAAAGTTGGAAAAAAATCGGAAACGCAAGTAGCACTGTAAACAACCTTCACTTTTGAAACAAACAACGAGAACTGTAACAACAGAACTGTCAAATTTGCCGGGAGAGGGCAGCGATGCGCAAGTATGGAAGCGATGCGCAAGTGTGGATATACCATGTATTTCTTTTGAAACTTTGGTACGTATATGGTTAAATCGATCACATCGTGTATTTAAGGAATGAACAGTTGATAAATGCGTTTTTCGTTAAAATTTCATATAAATTAGAATACAGAAATACATTTTACTATAGTGCATTTATAAGAAATTTGTTGTGACGTCACGAGCTACATGCGCCAAAACAGTTTATGTTGGGTTCCCGCACAGCTAAGTGGTTCGCTGCGATGCGAGGGGTGTTGGACTTAGTCGCTGGAGGCTCATGGGGACTTAGTCCCTGCGCAGCATCCTGCGCACCAACTTTTCCTCATTTAACTCGAACAGGTTCACTTAAGCAAATCAATTTTGATAGCAATGCATGTAGTTTTTCATCGCCCACAATGCTATGATCTTCAATTTTTTCCTAGTCGGTGCGGTCCTATTGTAAACCTTAACCAATATTTTTCCTAAATCAGTGCCTCAACAAAAAATATCTTTCGTGGTATTTCAAGTAACAAAAGATAGGCACCAAAAAACTAAGTGCCTTGCACTTCACATAGCACAACTTCCATTCTTTGCTTGAGATAGCTTGTACAGACATATCATTCCCACTATGAGTTTAGAGTATTAATTGTCTTTACACATAGACGGCTCCACAACCCAAAGTGACCCCTAAGCCATTTGTGAGTTCTACTTATCCCACCTGTTTATCCTTTTCCTTGAATGGAAATATTTTCTAGTATCTTATACTGCTGTTAGTAATGTCAATAGCACTGTACTAATTATTTTTGTAATGATAATAGCTTCAATAGTAAAAAAAAAAAAAAAAAAAAA